GCAACGGCGCCTCGAAAAACAAAATACTGCCGGATAGCCTAGAGCTAGACGAATGAGAATATGTAAAAAAATGTAAGGTGTTCCAATTCAAAAAAAGTTGAAATTGTGTGGAACTCGATAAATGTACAACCTGTATGTATAAAAATATCATATCAAAGCATAATTGCGTATTTCCAATAGCAACGGAGCTATGCTCCGTCCACGAACTATTGGGACACCCTGTATACTTATATTTAAAAATATCTTATTTGTGGGCGAAGAAAAACTATATTACAAATCTCGAGCTGTAAAGCATTTTCCATGCTCGTGTAATATACCGTGCGCAATTTTTATACTCGCATGCGAGTGTCATTTACAGCATTATGTAATATAATATTATACTCTACCGTTTATACTCGTAACTGTTTAATTCCCTAAGCACAGTTTTATTTTTTATTATTTAAATTTAAGCTCCACCTAGTTATCAAATTGTTTCATAAAAATTCATCTAATGGATTACTATTTCAATATAACTGTCCTGGAAATCAACAATAATTATATTTTTTTATATGTTAGTATATTTTTTAAGTTGACAAAAATATTGCTGTTTTTAAGGAGTAATACAGCTACTTACCCATCACCGAAAACAGCTGACCTAGTTTATTCATTATACATAGCTTTATATTATGATATATAATATTTAGATTGGTACAGTCCTGGATATTGACATTGCATAAATTTTATATAAACCAAAAAACAAGAATATCTCTTTAACGGTTTGAGATATAAATTTCAAATTTGGACACATAGTTACTAAAAGTCTATAAAACAAAAATCACTCATTATATATAGGGGTAAGAAAATGTCCTGGAATCCGTCGCTTGACAAACATATATATTTGACATAAACTAATTACAGCGTCGACGCACTTTGAATGCTAGCTATCAATTAAATATTGAGCACACAGTTCATTCCTAGTTATATAGTATCCAAAACTCAAGCGATGCGGGTTGTAAAACAGAAGGATTCATTTATAGTGGATAATTTCGATGAATATGTGGGAAGTGGTGTAAATGTTAACAACAATCGACACGGGCCGCTACTGCCTTCATCAATTAGAGCTCTGCTTATCGGGCCTTCAAATTGCGGCAAGACTAACGTTATGATTTCTCTAATAACACATCCATATGGTCTACGTTTTGCAAATATCNAGCAGCAGCAGCATTTCCATCAGCCCTTCCATACATAAATAGAATATCGGCATACTCCGCATTTGAAAATGATGTCATTATCAAAGGTTTTTAATGAACGTCTAAGAATAGTACTTACATTTTAACTGAGATTCGAACGTATAGTTTGACAGTTAATCTACATTTACGGTTGCTATGGAAACTAATGACAATTGTTTTATCATGGCCTACCAAGCTATTTAATCGAAACATTTCTTTTCCTTTTTACGGCTTAACTTTAAATTAGCTTTTAAGATTTGAGCAATTGAAATAAATATTTAGCTTTTTGAATCCTCCGTATTTTAATAACTTCAATATTTTCTAAAGAGTTGCGTTCTTGTACAGCAAATGTCTGCATTTCTTAAACCATTTTTATTACATACTAAACGGCTGTCCCCTATTTTGGCGAATGCGCTCCCAGCATACTTAAACGTGTTAAGATTAATTTCCCTAATTTTTTGAATGTTTATAAAGAAACTTTTCCTAAGAACTAAAAGAGCATTGCTTAGAACATGCTACTCATTTGCGCCTGGTATTCGAGAGGCTTAGACTCCATCGGTTGAGAATTTCACCAAATAAGTGCACAGTAGCTGAGACGTCACTAGATTACCTTGGACATAGGATCAGCGAAGAATTAGTGCTCCCACAGACCAAGCATATTCATGGCATCGAACACTTTCCACAACCTAAAACGAAGAGGCAGTTGCAGAGTTTTCTCGGGACCCTCAACTGGGTGAGAGATTACATCCCCGATGTTGCTCGCCTCACTCAACCCTTAACCATGTTGCTCAGAAAAGACGTTAAATTCAAGTGGGACCGAGAGTGTCACGAAGCCTTCTGCAGAATCAAACAGGCCGCCAGTCAACCATTGCAATTGCACCGCCCTGATCCGGCTTTACCATATATTTCAAACAGATGCCTCCATGGACGGCATAGGGGCCGTCCTATACCAAGAAACGCCTGAGGGTCAACGCCGTATTTCTCACGCCACCGCCTCCCTGTCTCCGGCGGAGAAGCGCTACCATATCAATGAAGTGGAAGGTCTGGCTGTAATCTGGGCTATCAAGAGATATACGAACGTACTAGCAGACACACACTTCAAGATTCGCACAGATAGTCGCCCTCTTTTATGGTTCCATAAAAATAAGGACTGCAAAGCAAAATTAACAAGGTGGTCCCTCCTGCTTCAGGAGTACTCCTTTGACTTTGAACGCGTAGCAGGCAAAAACAACGAGTTACCGGATTTTCTCAGCAGACATCCTGATCCTGAAACAGCGAGAGAAGAGACTGCAGAAGAAGACCTCTTGCCACCGGCTTGTCCACTAAACGTTTTAGATCATGACGAGTTATATCAGCAAGTTTTACATCATCAACAACAAAGCCGTCAATGCCAACGAACTATCGATAGGGTCAACGAGATTCGACAACGTGACCCTCGGACAACGTCAGAAGCTAATTTTTTACAACACTATCAAGTTGGAGATGGAATTTTGTGGGCGAAGGTTAACGGCAAGCGTCTCCTAGTCGTCCCTAAACGGATAGTAAATAGGGTTATTTACAACCACCATGATTCTGCAGCTCACGCACACCCCGGTCGTAAGGAAACCACGAGACAAGTACAGACAACCTATTATTGGAAAAGAATGGCAAAGCAAGTGGGAGAATATATCAAACGTTGTCAATTATGCATGGCGGCGAAGCAAAGACAAATTCAAGAGAAAGCGCCTTTAAGAGACCATACTTCAGATATCCCGTTCAAGGTAATAAGTATTGATGTGTTGGGCCCTTACCCGGAGACACGTCGCGGGCACCGATATGTTATCATGGCGCAGGATGTATTCACAAAGTGGGTCGAGGTAAAGGCCGTGCCTTGTGCAACGGCAGAGAAAATCATCCGATTTTTGGAAACGGAAGTGTTGGCCAGGTACTGCGCTCCGGCACACATTATCAGCGACCGCGGGACGGTGTTCTGGAGTCGGGCATATGTCAGATTCTTAGAAAAACACCACATCGAGTCTAACATGATGGCGGCTTTTAACCAACGAGCTAACCCTGTCGAGCGGCGAGTCCAAGAATTAAAGAAGGCAATGCGTGCCCTGACCTTCCAACGAGACAGACGTTCCTGGGATATATTCCTACCACAGGCACTTTTTGTGCTGCGAACTCGCCGCAACGCAGCCACAGGGGAAACACCGTCAAAATTAGTTCTTGGATATGAGCTGCCGCGACCAGGCCAATGGCAAGTGCCTATCTATCAAGAAAATCGAGAAAACATCGAAAGGATCAATCCACGTGTCGTCGTCCAGCGACAGTTAAATTTTCTCGGTCGTTATAGCCGTCGCGACGCACAGCCACCGGTCACGTTTCGCGCGGGTGATCGCGTGATGGTAAAACAAACACCTGCTGCCGGCGCAATGTTCGAACCAGCCTGGTCGGTACGAGGTCGAACGCGACGGACAATTAAACGTTACGTTACATATAGACTTTTTACGACCTGCGCCCGAAGGTAACCGTGATGAGTTGCAGGAAACCGACGAGGATGATGACCTTTCAGACGAGAGCGACGACGGCGATGATCCGTCAGCATCCCCCAGACTAGCTTCCAGAGCATCCATTGAACCTTCCCCAGAGCCTCTACCTCGATCAGCTAATAATCAAGGCGACGTAGATCGACAAAGGCGCTACGAGGAGATAGCACCTCTGGAGTCCATCCAAGGCGTCATCAAGGGCGAGTAGGCCATCCTATGCCAGCATCTCCATGTCCTGTTCACCGTGGCAATCCCAGGAGCCGCGACGAGGGCGATGGAGAGCTACCAACCACCTTCTCCGGGCCGCTAGTCAGTCAGAAAAACCATAGTCAGTTCCCCTGAAGGTTATCAGTAGCTTCGAGCGGTTCAAGGGATGAACCTTCACCATCTGACTCCGACCTGTCCAGTTTGGAAGCCATCCATCAGCTGGAAGTCGTTCAAGGCGAACGATGTCCATCAAAAAGTGCCTCCGCTGCATGTACTGTTAAGGCGAATGCAACCGGAACACCTCCGCAGATCCACAGCCGCCAAGGAGGCGCCGATCTGCCAGCTGTTGTAGGCAATTACCTGTTAGAAGCCATTCATTCGTCTCCTAGGTACCTTAGTAGAATGTTCTATTCTAAAACGCATTATCCATCACGTAGAAGACACCATCTCCAGGCGACTTAAAGCTTGAGACGAGATCCATTAAACCCACCAGTTTTGTAGCCACACCGTAGTATGCATCCAAGGATTCTCCGGGAGACGAACTCCAGAAGATGCCATTCCTCCACCGCTGGGTGAGGTCCACTGCGAGAGGCCCCTCGTCGTGCCAGTGCAGCCCCAGGACGCTCTGTGAGTAAGATGTGCGCGTACGTGGGTGAAATTTGAAAGAAACGCTCGTAGAAGTGCTTAGTGTTAGTTCGTGTATTGTATAAGTTTAGATAAGAAAATTTCATGTAAAATTAAATTGTGCTGGACAGCGCTTATAATGTCCACCCTGTATGTCAAAACTGTTTTGTATATTCTGTAAATGTAATGTATATATACAGAAAATAATTTATAATATTAACTTAAGTAAATGTAAGTGCTTTTGTACTTCTGAATGCCAGGATGCAAATGCTTTAGCATAAACTCGCATTCGAATATTTTTTGTATGTTCCTAAATTGTTATTTCTTGTATTTGAATATTTTTCGCATGTTTAAAAATTGTTATTTCTTATAAGTTAGGTCTCTCTTTCTTAAATAATAAATAAATGGAGATTAATCGCGAACATGCTAAGGGATGAGCCTTCAAAAGGAGGGAGGTGATGCAGTGTTATGCAATTGCGATTAAAAAAAATGTAAATATAATAATAGTTTGTTAATTTTATATTTACTACTCGTAATATGTATTAGTCGGTGATTCTAAATAATTCCAAGTCGCTTATTTGTGACGTTGGCGTTTGGGTCACCGTCCGACTGATATTACTTAGTCAAAATTCGAATTTTCGACACTGAGAGTGAGTGCTGACTGTGTTTCCGAATTCACACGCGTCCCCGTGTACTAGATAAAAAAATACTTTTCTATCATCCCGATTCCAAGGCTCACCCTTCGCATGTTCGCGTTGTCTCGAACATTTTTCAGACCGCCATTCTGGGTTTCAATAATTAATAATAATCCTAATACACCTTCTTACAACTAGTGCTGCCGGCCGTACACAAAAATGCGGGCGGAAGTCAGTTATTATAACGGATTCATATTCTAATGCACAAAATACGTAAAATAGGTAACTTGAATTTTTTCCCTAAATTTCACCGTTCTCAAGTTATTCATACTAATACAATCCTCTAGTGGCAGACACTTCTAACCGTAATATTACAATAGTATTTATGTTTATGCAAAAGTGAGTGCAATTTGTAAGCACATCAACAAATTTCTTTACACTCGTCGCTTTCATCTTTTTGGATTAAAGAACATCTCGGCAAGTTGGGGTGAGTAAATCCAAAATTTGAAAAGATCTACATAAGGGAATTTACTTCCGGGAGATGCAGATTCTTACTAGAAATACTTTGAATCGGCGAGGCTGCGTTCACAAGGCGAAGGGTAGTAAATTTTCACAATATTTGGTCACAAGAAAATCCTCATGAAATTCGGACAAGATCTTTTCAAGGCGAATTTTCTGTGAATTCGCAATAAAGTTTGTGGACCTTTCTTCTTGCTACCCCATCTAAATTTCCAATCATTTCTAAACTCTCTAGAAAACCATCTATTTGAATTATTAAAGGATGTTCCATTAAATATACCACAAAATAACTGGAGGCAAATGGATGGTGCTCCTGCGCATTTTAGGAGAATAATACAAGAATGGCTTAATGGAAATTACATGGGACGATGGATAGGTAGAAGACCAAATGGTGCAGAGGGTTCAGTGTCTTGGCCAGCCAGATCGCTAGATCTATACCCCCTGGACTTCTATGTTTGGGGTTACCTATCTGAAAAGTAAAATTTACTCTACTCCAATAGATACAAGACCACAACTACTGCAAAGAATAGAAGACGGGTGTAATGAATTGAAAGGAAACCACCACATGATGTTAGCTTCAATTAGTGCCATTAATAGAAGATGTCAGAAATGTATCGATGTGGATGGATCGCATTTTGAACAATTGTTGTAAATACATAACGTTAATTTCGTTTCTTGTTTAATTGTTGTTGCTTGGTAAATGAATTTTTATTATTACTTTTAATTTAAATTATTCTTATTTGTGAAGATAGTGAATTAGGCCTCCAGGGGAAACTAAAACACACTAGGAACACTACCTCACAGGTGATGTGGAAAGAATTTTGTTGATCTGCTTACAAATTGCACTTACTTTTAAGCATAAACATTCTTGTAATATTATGGTTAGTTAATAAGTTGAGAACGGCGAATCTTAGGGAAAAAATTCAAGTTACCATTTTTACGTATTTAGTGCATTAGAATATAAATCCGATATAATAACTTGTAAAAAATAGTGGCGTATTTTTTTTTTTTATAAAAAGATGGCGACCCCTGTTCAGTTGTACACCACTGGTTAAACCTTTAGAGCTCATATTTTAGGGAATGCAATACCTCCTGTCATACATTGTCTGTACCAAATTTTATTGAGATCGGTTTAGATTCCAGAGATACAAACAAAAAATCAATTTTTTATAACAACTTCAACACCCTGTATCTCTAAAATGAGGCCGTTCCAGACCAATGTTTATGAGGCAAACACCTATTATTTTAAAGAGATTTATTTGCCCTCGAAGTATCCTGCATAAAATTCGAACCACCCTGTATATACATATATACAGGGTGGCTTTTTTCAGCGTCAAAGTCCAATAGCTCGGTTATGGTAGCACCAGGAAAAAAATATTTTAGACAAAAGTTGCTCCCAGTCAAGTTCTCCACATTTTAAAATTAGTTTAAATTATACTGGATGTCCCAGTTCCCCTGAGCGCCAATCAACTTTGTTTTTTTAAATACAACACCCTATATATTTTTGCATTTTGAATTACTCGATGAATTTTAATGTCACTGTGATTAATAATTATGGTGTCTATTATGCACCGTTTCTATGTTAATTGATGATTTCTTAAAAAAATTACGTTTGCAGCGACTAGGAAAAAATTATTTATCTCGAAAACTAAAAATCGTAGATAAACGAAATCTTTACCATTGTTCTAAGCATGAATAGAGCTATCGAACTAATTAGCCTCCATTAATGTCCGCCCAAGGATGTGCCAAATACGAGCGCCTAAATTTCTGAATTTTCAATCACAGATAACTTGATTTTTTCAAATGGAACCATGTACTAGATTTTATTCAGGTGGATTCAAAATTTAATTTCCTTTCGATTTTGTTAAGGTATGTTAGGGTCTATTTCAAACGGTTTTGAAGATAGTCACATTTTTTCTCAATTTTTATAATTGTGGCTGGTATTTTCATATTACCCGCTCAACCAATACATAAATTATTATAATTAACAAATTTACAAAACAGGTAAAATCATTCTTTTAATTCATAAAAAATTATAAAATTTAACTTAAATGCAAAATGGAATGTTAATTTTAGTCGGCCTAGGTGAACAGAGTAATTGAGTTCCCCCTCAAACTCCATTAGCTTGTTTAAACAAAATGGGCCTTGGGATAGAATGGAGGCATTCTGCCTCATAATATAAAAGTATTTTTAAACTTACAGAGAACAATAAAAGTGGGTACAGGTACAGGCACTTATAATCAAAATTTTCCTCAAACATCCATACAGATTTTTTTTATGAAAATTAATTAAATACAACAGTATACAATTTTATTTATAATTATCATCAAACAATAAATGGTAATAAATAATTATAATAAATGTTCAAAATTTCGGCCATTTTGATTTAAACATAACTGAAGTCGTTGAATATGTGATGTCTGCACGTTTACTAACATTCTTTGCTGAATCTGTTGAAATGCGTCTGAAATTCGAAGTCGCATGTCATCTGCTGTTGTAGGAGGAGTTGAATAAACGATGTCTTTAACATAGCCCCATAAAAAAAAATCGCACGGCGTAAGATCGGGACTTCTTGCTGACCAATGAATGGGTCCACCCCTGCCAATCCATCGTCCTCCATATTGATCATTGAGAAAATTTCTCACACGAGAAGAATTATGTGGTGGGGCACCATCTTGTTGTAGCCACAAATTTTGCCTTACATTCAGAGGAACATTCTCTAGTAGAATAGGCAAATCATTAATTAAAAAATGGTGATACATTTCTCCATTAAGTGTACCATTAAAGAAGTGGGGTCCAATCACCCTGTCTCCTAGTATCCCACCCCAAACATTTAATGTCCACCTATTTTGAAAGTTCCTTGGACGTGTTAAATGGGGATTACTATCTGCGTAGTAGTGGTTATTTCTTGAATTTGGAGACCCATTATTATGGAATGTAGATTCATCCGTAAAAAGTACGTTATTAAAAAAGTTCCTGTAAATGCCAATTTTATCCAGTGCCCATTGGCAGTACTCTGTTCGTAGAGCAAAATCTTCATTTGTTAGGTTCTGTACTTTTATAAAACGATAAGCGTGATATTTATAACGTTTAAGAACTCTCTGCAACGAAAATCGGCTCACTCCGAGTGTCGTGCTTAATTCTCTTTGACCAATTTGAGGGTTTTCAAGTACAGACAACAAAATCTCGGTTTCTTTATTTTCATCCAATACATAATTTACCCTTGTGGGTTTCTTGTAGCAGACTGAAGAATTTTCAACAAACCTTTCCTTTACTCGGCGCAATGATCTAACTGCAGGTTGCCTTCTTTGCGGAAAACGTTGATTGTAAATTCTTGCAGCCAGAAGACAATTTCCATTGCTTTCGCCAATAACATAAGCCATATCCCTTAATTCGTCGTTGGAAAAATGCATCTTTTCAAAAAATACTGAAATACCACAGTACAGTAGAAGATTGACAGTGATGATAATTTAACTTGACATTTAGTTGCTAGGAAACGAAATGAAAATACCAGCCACAATTATAAAAATTGAGAAAAAATGTGATTATCTTCAAAACCGTTTGAAATAGACCCTAACATACCTTAACAAAATCGAAAGGAAATTAAATTTTGAATCCACCTGAATAAAATCTAGTACATGGTTCCATTTGAAAAAATCAAGTTATCTGTGATTGAAAATTCAGAAATTTAGGCGCTCGTATTTGGCACATCCTTGGGCGGATGTTAATGGAGGCTAATTAGTTCGATAGCTCTGGTCACGCTTAGAACAATGGTAAAGATTTCGTTTATCTACGATTTTTAGCTTTCGAGATAAATAATTTTTTCCTAGTCGCTGCAAACGTAATTTTTTTAAGAAATCATCAATTAACATAGAAACGGTGCATAATAGGCACCACAATTATTAATTACAGTGACATTAAAATTCATCGAGTAATTCAAAAATGCAAAAATATATAGGGTATTGTATTTAAAAAAAACAAATTTGATGGGCGCTCAGGGGAACTGGGACATCCTGTATAATTCTAAATTTTAAAGTATGGAGAACTTGACTGGGAGCAACTTTTGTCTAAAATATTTTTTTCCTGGTGCTACCATAACCGAGCTATTGGTCTTTGACGCTGAAAAAAGTCACCTTGTATACCTATATAAAATTTTGGAATTTAGTCGGGTATGTCAGTCAATTTAATAAAGAAGATTCTTTATTCAGTTCAAGCTTTCGATCACTTTATTGTCTCTTCCTCAGGAACTAAATGTTGAGATTATATTATAAAAATGATAACCCGACGAAACATTGATCCATGTCTTGAATAAAAATTTTTTAAAAGTTACACATTAAAATCCATTTAAAATTTGACAACAAAATTGAAAAAACAACACATTATTTAAACTATTAAATACTAATACTACTCGTATGTCATGACCACATGGTTGTAGAGGTTATAATATAAGGGTAGAAAAAGAGTGGTGAGGCGAGCCCGCTGCCGCAATATCCCGTTCGTCTCTTTACTGACCATACCATGGCTTCTCCTACCGCTCGGCATTCCCTTAAAGCGCACTCCTAATTGGGTGTCTTATTTAATTCCTAACTAATTAAGGGGGCGTCTGACAAAAAAATACCAAAGTACTTTTCATCTCAGAATTTCATTCTCTTTCTACAGCTAGTGTCTATCAACTATTTTTATGACACCCGATATAGTAGTATTTTGTATTTTGCATTTTCTGCATTTTCTGCGTAAGATTTTTGATTAGGCAAATTATTTTATTAAAAAGTAACCGTTGCTGATGCTTTTGGCCTAAGGACTTACTTAATTGTTTTTAAAAATTTTATTCCCAGGTAGCAAAACGCTGAGTATATGTCAGAAAAACATTAACTATTTATGTATTTTTCAACTGATATAGTATTATTGTGTTATGAAGATAACATCAACTACTACTTTTCCAATAATTTCTTTATAGAGGACATCCTGTATATTTTGACCCAGTTAAAACTACATTATTATACATAATAAAAAAATTTTTCCTCTTTTCAGTGGTTTTTACGCAAATTCAAAAATCAAGAAATATACTATAAAAAGTTCCATTTAAAAAAAATATCGCTATCCAAAAAAATTTAGAAAGCAAGCATCATCCAAAACTCAAATATTCCCACAAATAAAAATCTGTATCTCTTAAATGAATAGCTATCGCATCTTGGGAGCTAAATTCATTTCACCATTCTATAAAATTGAGTATGTAGCATTTAAACTACCTTTTTGTGTCTTTTCGGGAAATAGAAAAATCCTCACAAGTCTCGAACAGATGAAGTAGGTAATTTTTACTCTGAAAAATTGAAATCTGGGATATGATTATTTCACACTGTTATTACATATTTTTTACAAATAAGATAGTCACTCCTTGTAGGTACACATGTACCAACTTTGTCATTTAACAGCATCATTCTAATGTTACTTATTAAAAATTATGTCTTTTTCAGGATGGGAATTACGAGGGCTCCACTGTTACAAATTTTTTAATATCAGGCATTCGTGGGAAAAGGCAGCTGAACTCTGTAGAAGGTAAATATTTGACATAATTTTATTATTTACATTTCACATTATATTTTCGATTAATTTAGATTTTTTGTTATTATTTTTGTAATTTAATTGATTTTACTTCTCTAGTGATAAGAAGTTAATTTAAAACCCCTTATACAGGGTGATTCATTAATAACTGTACATAGGCTAACTGGATAATCCTGGGCTGATAATATGAAGAACCGACACATAACGCTTAAATAAAATATGGCTCCTTACAGAGTTACAAGGTGCTTTACTTAAGAAATTTTAAATAATTTTTGCGCATTACTTTAACCCTATCATACTTGGCTAGATATTTTAGAACATATTAAAAAATGCTACAAAATCTTTCATGGCCACTACCAGATATGTACGGCAGGGGTAGAGGGTCAGTTTCCCATTTCTAACTTCTACGCCACTGGCGGAATTTTTATTTTGGTACAATTTTTCAATTCTTCAATAGGTACTTTCTATGCAATTAACTATTCCTTCATAGCGGTAAAGACATTATTTCTCGAGATTTTTAAATTTTAATAATAGATATCCATAATTTGATTTTTATTTTATTATGTAATTTGTCACTTATTATTATTCACGTCGGTGTCTTCTGGCACATGGGATTGCATTGCATTAGTTGAATTAGGTTTTACAGTTAGAGATGTTTTAAAATCTTATGAGCTTTGACCTTCATATGCGCAGAAACATAATTCCGACCGTCGCCTAAATGATTCTACGTCCTAAAAACATTACACCTATTATTCACAGTCTCTCGAGCTCTAGCGTAAACAAGCCTTTGAACCGATTACAAATATCATAATAAAATGCCCTATTCTTTATTATTTTAATTTAAACACTAAAAATATATATAACGAACGTTCGCCAGTTGACTTTATTGATGCCAGAGCGCCTTAGTTCATTTCTAGTTGTAATGAGGCACGTGGTCTAATTCTGAGTCAATGTTTTCACAACGTGCTTATTAGAAGAATTATGGGGATACGCCACGCCTTTCGCGCATTTCGCGGCTCATGAGATATTAAAAGATCTCTAACAATTTTGATAATGAACGCAAATGCGTTGCTGGTATTTCATCTCTTTTGAAGTGCGTCAAGCAACACTGACAACAAATTTATTATTGTGTATAGTTGGCTTTGGTCTGAAACAATCATTTCGATATAATAGATTCTGTCATTTTTGTTAGTTAGTATAAGTATCTATAAGATTAAATGAAACGAACATTTATTTCTAAAATGTTTTTGATTTTTGTTTATTGTTATTAAATTTATTATTGATATTAAATTTGTACTAATAAACTCAACTGTAAAACCTAATTCAATTAATGCAATGCAATCCGATGACAGAAGACACCGACTTGAATAATAATAATATGACAAATAAATTACATAACAAAATAAAAATGATTATGCAGCACTATGTTTAACTTTAAAAATCTCGAGATATAATGACTTTACCGCTATGAATAGTAGGTTAATTGTATAGAAAGTATTGAAGAATTGAAAAATTGTACCAAAATAAAAATTCCGTCCGTAGAAGTTAGGAATGGGAAACTGCCCATCTACCCCTGTCATACACCTCTGGTAGTAGCCATGAACGATTTTGTAGCATTTTTTAATATGTTCTAAACTGTATGCCAAGTATGATAAGGAAATATTAAACAGGGTGAAAGTAATGGGCAAAATCATTTTAAAAATTTTAAATAAAACACCCTGTAACTCCCTAAGGAGCCATATTTTATGAAAGCGTTATGTGTCAATTCTTCGTATTTTCAGCCCAGGATTATCCATAAGCGGAAGTACAATTATGAATGAATCCAATGTATATCTATTGCAATTTAAAAATTTCTTCAAAATAAACAAGAATTTAGCATAAGATACGTACAGCTAATAAATTATATATTTATATGACTTCAATGTAACCTACAAATTTATTTGATTTGTTCTTGCTAAATCAGTTAATAAAGAAAAATATAACAAACGTACACCCACTCACATGATTTATCCTATTTGTGGTCTAGATTTCCAAATTACTCTAACGATGATGGCAAAAATACAGTCCATTTTTTTCTAATCTTAATTAAGTAAGTATGAATAAAAGAAGACGTTGATGTGCCTCTAATTAAGTTCAAAGTTATAAGTTTAGAATTATATATCGAAGAATACAAATATTAAAAAATATAATATTTATTAATATAATAATATTCATAAATAAACATATATGTTGAAAGTACCTACCTAAATTAACTAAAAAGTAAATTAATAATTATTATTCTTATTATTAAAAACTCTATATACAATATATTTTTATCATCAGAAAAAACCGATTAAAAAAATAGTTTGATCGTCCCCCTTTATTTTTGCCATTCATTAGTTTTCTGTTAAAATAATTAAAGTCCTCTTAAAAAGTACTAAGAAGACATATTTTTTTAGTTTTTAACAATTCTTTATATAATGAGATAATTGAAATCGGAAAATTATTAATTCAGAAGGATCAGTCAAGCTCATCCTCTAGATATCTTTTTAAATATGTTTTTAAGTTAAGTTTTTAATTGTTTTTTTATAGATATGGTAGTGATTTAATGATAATTGAAAACTACAGTGAAAATAATTCAACAGCGAACATAACGGCTGCAACATTACCCTTAGAACGAAAGGATGTTACCCAATACTGGTTAGGTTTAGCATCTTTAGATGATCTAAGAACCAATACACTTGAATCGGCTGCTGGAACTTTAGTATCACAATATTCAGGTAGGCAACATAAGTACCTACTGATTTGTTTTTACCTATATTGCTTAGAAAATATATTTAGATAAAAATATAAACATTTTTAGAGGATTTTTTAAATTTAATTAAATTTAGAATTTACACATTTTTCATTTTATCTTTTAGATTGAATGTTTATTTGTTTATCTTTTATCTAAAAGACGGGTTTAGATAAAAGATAATTGTAGCGAATATTATAATTATAATTTTATTATTGTCATTTTATATTGAGATTTTACCTTAAACCTTTCTACCTATTCTGACCAAAAAGTGTTTGCTCAAATGAGATAGATTGCTATTCTACACACGATATCAGGTTAAATTTCAAGAGTAGTTTCCTTGGATGCAATCAATGTATTAAGTTCTTCTTCTTATAATTCCTTAAAATGAGACGGATCCAAAAAAATATTTTTATCCAACACTTGTATATGATACTATAATATTTGGTTTTAAAGGAATAATGTGGCCTATAAGTCACTAGTGTGTTATAAACCATAAGTCACTAGTAAGTTATGACCAATAACCTACTAGTGACTTATAGAAATCATAAAAAGACAAATGTTTGGTTTATTTTTCTAGTTTTTATTAGAAAACCAATTTGAAACAGCAATAAGTCAAAAAATAACCTAAAATGCTACAAACTTACAATCTGCCTACTTATTAATATTAACATTAACATTTATGACAGCCGTAATTTGATGCCAAAGGATTATTGGAATCATTTTGTGATTTTGGTAAATCTATAGAACAGGTTGCCCCTTTACTTGTGCGTGCTTCAGGAGTCTGTACCCCTTATATCTTTTTAGTAATATCAATTTTGCTGGAAATTGACTCTTATATATATAGTCCAAGAGAATTAAGCTCAAAACCTTCGAGATATGGCTGTTGCTTGACGTAGTTTAGATATTAGTAAAAATCGGTCAAAAATAATATAAACAAAGAAAATATAATGTTGCGCCAAGAAAAAAAAGATGTGCTATTCTCAGAAAAAAATAAAAACTGCAAAAATACTCAAAAATCACGTGTTTTTTCTAACATTTTCCAATATAACTTCTTAAATATGCAGTTTACAGAAAAAACTGTTACTGATGAAATTGTTTGTTATGAAATTTGCTATAAGACAGAATTGTTTTGATACCTGCGCATTTCATATTTTTGTTGCTAGATAGCCAAAACAGCGTAAGAAAGTGATGAAAATCGAGGTAATTTTGAAGCGTTCAACTGACAGGTAAGAAATTGCCCAATTGGACTATAAATGTAGATGTAAGTACTTTAAAGGATTACAAAACGAAATCCCAAAACTCGATCGAAATCGGTCTGATAGTTTTGGTATGAGACAATTTCTTACTAAATTTCAGCGCGAAATGTTATTTTTTTGCGTCAGTGCTGAGGTTAAAGTTAGGCATTTTAATTGGCGCTGATTTTTTTACACATAATTGGACTCTTTAACTATCATATAGAATCGTTATAATATTAATTTTCTTTTTTTTAATAGTTTTTGGAATGATTTTAAAAATTCGAAAAATTTTGACTTTATAAACAAATACTTTCGTGAAGCCGTTTTGTGGGTTGGAATATATACCAAAGTACTAAAAAATAGTTCTCGGAAAGACGCTTAACTTGAAAAAAATAACGTTCAAATCGGTCATATAAGTTCCAAGATATAGTGTGTCAAAGTCAACAAGCGCTTGCTGCAAAACTATACATAATGTAACAACAAAAATTGAATTTGGTAGGTTTTTTAAAGAACTTTCCGCACGTTTATAACGCACGTGTGCTTTTTATATGAAAATTCAATGAATATCGATAAACCGAGAAGAGGGGATGAATTGAAAATGAAATCGTGCGTTCAAAGAGCGCGCGCGCTTCGGCGTTCAGTATCTCGACTTCTATGGCTCCGATTTTGATGTTTTTTTTTTAAATCGATATAGAAAAATGAGAGGAATTCAATTACCAAGGTTTCATTAAAATATAAAGCCCTTTTCGGTCTATTACGACTAAAAATTTTCGACATTTTGTCGTTATACTATATGTAAATAATAATATCGATGGTAGGATATAGGTACATAATGCACTGTTACTAGGTATTAATTTTAATAATTACGTGGTAATAATGTTTAAATAAAATCTTTAAATTTTTATTTAATATGTAATTTATTTATTGTATTCATATAATATAGAAAAAAATATAAATACAAATAATTATTTATTTATGTTTACAAAACGTGTTTATTATATTTTCATAATCATCGTATTATTAAAGTTTTTCACTTTTTTACATCATTGGTGTTTTCACTTATAATATCAGCATTTGAATAAGTATCGTTGTCCATTATTTTCAAATCAGTGTTTAACTAATTGTAAGTAGGTACCACTGTTAAATTAACAGCAAATAATGACTTATGGTTGGTTAATTTGATTTTTTAAATTTGCCAGCAATTTCATAGCCATCCTCGCAAGAAAATGGATCATTTTATTTATCACAAAATCCGTCAAAAACAGAAAAATTAAAAGATAGGTATAGGGAGGTGTAATATGGATAGATGTGGAGTAAATTTCTACAACAGATTTTTATTAAATATACAGGGTGTCCCATTTAGAAAAACCAAGTTTTGGCGGTTCGGTCAATCAAATTCGACAATAAATATGAAATTGAAATAGGTCGAAGACCATTAGACCATTAGAGATACATATAGGGAAGCTTTATAAAAGTCCTCTAAAAATATGCGTAGAATTCAAATATACAAAAATTAACAGGATGTTCCATTTATAATAAGCAAATAGGTGGCGACTACCGGTATAACCGGAAGTACTACAACAATGGCATTATTTTATTTAAACTCTAAATAAAACCTCCAAGACCACTAGGTCAAAAATTATCAAAATTCAAAACGAAATAGTCTCCGAAATATTCTAATGGGTCGTCACCGCATGGCCTGTATAATGAATTGCAAAGTGCGATTTTTAATTGTTTACTAAAGGAAAGAAGAAATTTTTGAGAGCGAAATCAGCTATGCTATAAAAAAGCGGAATATTTTTTTAATAATGCGATCATACGTTTTATAAATATCAAATAATAATTATTTGTATCTGCATTTTTTTTATATTAGATATGTATATGTATACAATAAATAAATTACATTATTACATAAAAATTTCAAGATTTTAAACATTATTACCAAGTAGTTATTAAAATTAATACGTATTAACAATAGAATATCTATTAATTATTTACACGAATATACAACAATGAACTGTGTGAAATTTTAAGCAGTCGTAATAGGCTGATAAGGCTTTATAATATTTCAATGAAATCTTGATAATTGAATTCGTTTTTCGTGTGAACATTTTGCTATATCGATTTTAAAAAAATCATCAAAATCGGAGCCGTAGAAGCCGAGATATTGAACGCCGAAGAGGGCACGTTCTTTTTGAACGCGCGATTTCAATTTCTATCATTCATCCCATCCCCCGGGTTTTGCGGCTCAAATGGTCGGTTTGGCGATATTCATTGAATTTTCATATAAAAAGCACACGTGCGATAATATTTATAAAAGTATATACGAAAAGTTCTTAAAAAACCTACCAAATTCAATTTTTGTTGTGCATTATGCATAGTTTTGCAGCTAACGCTTGTTGACTTTGACACTTGATATCTCGGAACTTATGTGACCGATTTGAACGTTCTTTTTTTCAAGTTAAGCGTCTTTCCGAGAACTATTTTTAGTACTTTGGTATATATTCCAACCCGCAAAACCGCTTCACGAAAGTATTTGTTTATAAAGTCAAAATTTTTCGAATTTTTAAAATCGTTCCAAAAATTATTAAAAAAAAAGAAAATTAATATTATAACGATTATATATGATAGTTAAAGAGTCCAAGTATGTGTAAAAAAATCAGCGCCAATTAAAATGCCTAACTTTAACCTCAGCACTGACGCAAAAAAATAACGACATTTCGCGCTAAAATTTAGTAACAAATTGTCTCATACCAAAACTATCAGACCGATTTCGATCGGGTTTTTGGATTTCGTTTTGTAATCCTTTAAAGTACTTATATCTACATTTATAGTAGAATTGGACAATTTCTTACCTATCAGTTGAACGCTTCAATATTACCTCGATTTTCATCACTTTCTCACGCTGATTTGGCTATATAGCAACAAAAATATGAAATGCGCAGGTATAAAAACAATTCTGTGTTATAGCAAATTTCATAACAAGCAATTTCATCAGTAATAGTTTTTTCTGTAACTGCATATTTAAGAAGTTATATTGGAAAATTTTAGAAAAAACACGTGATTTTTGAGAATTTTAATTTTTTCTGCGAATAGCACAACTTTTTTTCTTGGCGCAACCTTATATTTTCAATGTTTATATTATTTTCGACCGATTTTTACTAATATCTAAACTACGTCAAGCAACAGCAATGCCAATGTGGAATTCTCCTGGACTAATAACCTTCTGCCACGGTAGATGACTTCTATCCACCGTGGCGTTTGAGTCTTGTAATATCCTCTCCAGCATTGGCCAAGAGCGTTGCAGATACACGACGCAAGACATGCCCTGTATATAAATTGCATTAGGGATTTTTGATAGCTTATTAATACTAACACATTGACTTGTGCATTTTCCCTTTTGAAAATTGCAAAAGAACCTTTTATGCTGCACATTTTGAGGTCTTAGCTTAGAATATTTTCTAATTAATTCAGTTGGATTAACACAAAATTCTTCATTTAACACAGCGAAGCTTCTTGGTTTGTTCGTTTTAGTATTTGAAATCATGATGTGGATATACTGCCTCCTCTATATTGTCTATGCTTAGATGGGCCAATTCCTCGCAACGACAAGCGCCAAAAACTCAGTAGAACCTATCTTATTCATAAAATGATCTTCGTCTAGGGCTTCACGCAAAAATTGTTCGATTTATTCTCTTTCTAGGACCTTGGATTTTTTTGGTTAAAAATGGTTGTGCTTAGACTTCAG